GGAGGGAGGGAGGGAGGGAGGGAGGGAGGGACTTTCGGACATGTTCGTCTAACTTTGGTGTGCCTGAACTGGCGATAGGATGGGAGAGGACCTCAGATTGGCCATTGCAGTGAGATTATGGTAGAGCAAAAAGATATAGACATAGAACCAGATATAGATATAGATACAGATGTAGGTATAAACACAGACACAGATATAAAAATAGGGATAGATATGGGAACACATATAGATATAGACATTGATATACACAGATCCAAATATAGATACAGGCATAGGTATAGGTATGGGCATAGATATAGGTATAGATATAGGTGGATAAGTGCAGATACAGATTTAGATATATACACACAGCTGCAGATATAGATACAGATGTAGATGCGGATATAGATGTATATGTAGATGAAGATATTTTATACAAATATATGCTACCTTTCATGGCAGATCGTCTGCCAGAAGATCTGACGTCCGAGTCTTTTGGCACAGGAAACCTCGAAGGTGCTGCTGTAGACCAAAGAATAACAAGTTTGCAGCGCCTGCATAGACTCATACGCGGAACTTCGCGTTTTGACTCCATAGCAACCCTAGTAATTTCCCTTACAGTAGCTCAGTAGGCCCTTATAGCAACCCTCATGGCAACCCTTGCTAACCTTCTGCTTCGGTGTTGACCCCGAGCCGACGGTTCTTCGTAGAAAGGCTTGGAGTTCTCACCCCCTTTTTTTGGAGGTTTTGGGTTTAGGGTCCCGGGTCTAGGTTTAAGGTTTGGGGTTCAGTGTTGAGTTTTTTTCCACCCAGGAGTCCAAGCGAGAGCCCCAATGGGGCAGCGATGAGAGCTCAGGGTATAGGGCTGCGGGTCTGATGGAAGCAGGTACAGGTACGGAGCAGAGGTCTGCTGCCTTGAGGTAGGCTCGCCTTGGGGGCCTAAGATCTCCGAAGACCTCTCCAAAGCTTTGGGGCTTAGGAGGAGAAGCTCTTCGGGGGCTCTCAAGCGGACGGCCAGAGGCCCAGGCTTTGGGTACTCAAATGGATCTCTATCACGTTTTAGGGTCTAGGGTTTAGGGATGTATAAACAGATCATGGCTTCAGGCTTGGGGTTTAGGGATATATAAGCCCTGGACTCTAAACCTGCAATAAGAAATCGGAAGCTCCCAAACTCCTGAAGCCCAAAACCCTAAACCCTAAACCCGGAACTGAACCCCGAACCCCTAAACCCCTATATAACCCCTGAACCCTGGTGCCCACCTTCCGCCACACATCCGCTCGCGACTCGCTACCGGAAGCCTTCTCCTGACGAAGGGGACCAAGATCCCTTCATTAAGGGCTTAAGGGTTTAAGGTTTAGGTTTAGGGGTTTAGGGTTTAAGGCTTTGGGTTGAGGGTAGGGTTCCCATTATATTTTAAGGCCCTGGGTGGCAGGAGCCGTCGAACATGTGGGTTCCTGTAAGGTTTAGGGCTTAGGGGCCTAGGTGTTTAGGATTTAGGGTGTACGGTTTTGGGTTTTGGGTTTAGGGCAAACGCAGATGAGCCCTCGGCAAGCTGGGCATGGAATTGGTGTCGAATCTTCACCCCAAAAAAGGATGCAGCACGAACGTCTGCTTTTGGAGAAAAGACATGACAAGGCACAGATCTCCGGACCCCAAGTCGGCCAATGCCTTCTCCAAGCCCGCAATACTAAGCCCGAAATCCGAAATCTTAGATCCTCATCCCTTAGCCTAGATCGCAAACCCAACTAGAAGACGAGTGGCCCGAAAGCATCATTAGCCATGAGTTTTGGGGCCATGAGTGTCGGCTATAGAGAGTCTATAGAGAGTCTAAAGAGAGTGTCGTAGAGTCAAGTGTGGTAAAGTCAAGTGTCGTAGAGTCAAGTGTCGTAGAGTCAAGTGTGGTAGAGTCAAGTGTG